CAAAAATCAACATGAGATTCTTTCTGTCAGACTTATATTCTCAGAAGAAAATGTGTAGTACACATAAAATATTTATGATCATTTCGTACATTGTAACTATATCTATGTAAAAGCCAAAATAAATATCAACTGTTCCAGCTATACAATATACAGTGCCTGATGTGTTTATTGCCACATTTTCTCTGACCAGTCTCCTGTCTGTTGTGTTTCTCCAGTGACTGTGTTATTCCAGGGAAATGAGTAACACAAGGGGAGGAGGGTGCATAATGACTTCTACACTGTAGGGGGTTGTCTGAACTAACACATGGATCATGCTCTACATCTCTCGAATCTGTGTTGGAATCTGTGTATGTGTATGATGCAGGAAACGCATAGAGGGCGAGCTGCTCAGGTTTTTTTGTAACAAATCGGTGTCTATCACAAGCATTTCACATTTTTCAGTTCATAGCTTTAAGGATCAATGAAATGTTGAAGATAAAAAGATAAGTCCAAAGGCTAAATGGCTTTGGAATGCTAAGGTGTTCCAAAGCCCAAATGGTTCTGTTTTTATCTGTGTTATTTTGCAAGAACTGTTGGCTAGATTTCATTCTGTTTCTCCCTATACAGTGACTAGATTAAGTATGGAAACCCTTGCAGATACAAGGAGAGCTCTAAGCTTGTGCTGCTGAAATCTCAAGCTTTCACATTTTGCCAGATGGATTTTTACATTTACAACACATTTTAAACAGTGTCATAGTATTCTCAAGCCATATATGATTATTGATACAAGACTTGTGTGAATAGTGGAATAGAGCAACAAAGAACAAAGGAGCTCAAAATATCCACTAGTCACCAAAATGTTTGCACTGAAGAGATGTACGTGAAATTGTATGTAAATGTAAATGTAATGTAAATGAAAATGTATGTAAATTTTAAGTGTGAATCTTGTAGAGGGAAATGTAATTTAATCCATAATGGGAAGATATTAGTTGGGAAAGTGGAAATGCTTTATTGAGGAGGGTCAGTTTGGGGGTCAGCATTTTCTGTCATTTTATTCTCTCCATGGGCTCAGTTACTGAGAAGAATGTTTTACATAATAGAATTCTGGACTCCCTTCTTGGCTGTCGATATTCCACTTGTGTATGTTCAGAGCATGTCAATGATGACAGCTGGTTATTTCTTCAACACACAGATTTTGATTATGTCTTGTTTTATGGTTAGTATTTGGTTTTCACAGGGAATGTTTTCCCACCCAGAAGACAACAAATGTTGGACTGACCCAGTAATTGTTCTTTCCTATATTTCCTTTGGGCTCTTGTTCAGCTAGTTGGATCAGAGTTGTTTTAAACATAATTAGGCCATCATATATTACTCTGGGTTAGTTTGCATGTGACATCACCAAGGAGACCCAATGGGGAAATTAGAGTATTTTTTTGGACAATGTATCTGTATTTTATGTATTTTAACTACTTTATCATGAAAATAAAGTTTATAAACAGTAGTCTTTACAGACTGACAAGTTAAGATATATTGCATCCTAACAGAGCTGTTTAGTAAATTAGATTTTCATAGTGCTAATTGAATTTGTCACAAAGCTGATGAACATTAGCTAAAGAAAGGGAAATATATTTTATTTTATTGAGCACATCTCAGAGTGCTTGTAATTTAGTAGGGCCACCACACTTTCTGGGCAGGCTATCAATAGGATGTTGTAATGATTTGCATGACTACTATAGTAGATGGAAAAATGTAGCTTGTGTTTGTAGCTGTTCCATTAATGTCTTGCACAGTGTGCAGTCCTTTGGTGCTCTTCAGAGAGCTGTGTCATAATCCCTGCATCTTTTGAAGAATTCAGTCTGGTGAAATCAAGTAACTATACATCGTTTAAAACCTGGTGTGTAATTATATGATGAGACAAAGGAAAGACTGAGAAAGGCAGATAACCAATAGAATCCTGAACTTATCAAAACACAGCTCTTGCCAAGGACCTTGGAATTCATCTGATTCAGTTGCTGGAAAAATGCCTGAATTAAAAATTATCCTACAAGGACCAAGAAAATAGAGCCAAATTCTGGCACTCTACAGTTTTCTCCCAAAATGGTCATTAATGCTGCAAAAACAGAATAGGGTGAACAACCCTTGGCCCCATGCTTGGCCCCCTACTGTAGCCTCTATCTGCCAAAATTAGATGGGATAGAAGATCAAAAATGGGGAGGGGGGAGAAGATTGGAAAAAGAGAGCTTAGAAAAGGAGGGTGGTTGGAAAGGGAAACACTCATAGGCTATGCCCCCTGCCAGCACTGAAATACTCAGTTGCAACTCCACTCACAAAGCACCTGTTGGCAGCTGTTGGAGCAGTTTATAGATTTTGAGATGGTTCCCTTACGTGAAATGTGATGTGATCTTATTTTAGTAAAATAGAAGCAATTCTTGGACAATAATTACAGCAATAAATATACCTGCACAGAAATCATTAATGATGACAGCTTTTGCTTTCATTGAATAAAATTGCATTTTTTTAAAATGCATTACTCATTACTACTAATATTAATATCCTTTGGCTGATACCACCTATGTTGTCTTCCTTCTATCCAAAATTGAAAAAAAAATTAATATTACACAGAGTGAAAAGAAAATACAGCAAAACAATGATCATAAATATTAACCTGATACCCTCCTTCAAACTCAGTGGCAGGAAACTAGGGATCAGGGGCTGTCTGGAAAATGTTATGTTTTTCAATCTTTATGCATTAGAATGTAATGATAGAAAATAATGAAAATTGTTTCTGTTAAATTAGAACTCACCACAAGTATTTTATGTTAGGAACTCAGTTTAAACATTTTAATGTCTTCACAAATTTTAATGTAAATTCCTGTTAAATACATTTAATGAAGAATTTTAGCATTACAATTTACACTCTCCTTCAGTTACTATCTCCAAAAGTTACTTGTGTTCATGTGTAAAAACTTTTGCCGTTCTTTCTTGTTGTATAAATAGCTTGTTATTCCTTAGGATAAATATGTAACAGTTATCAATAATATATGTATTCAATATGTAAAGTGTATCAAGCAGGAAATAAATTATCATTTTTAAATATAGATATTTAATATAGGCTGAGCTAAAAACTCTGTTGTATTTATTGGCTACATCTCCTCTGACTATAATGAGAATCTTCCCTTTGGTTCAGTTTAAAAGGCTTACCTAGTAAGTATCTGTGTTACTCGAAGGTTTGCATAGAGTTGAAATAGAAAGTAGGTAATTTTTTGAAATTTAATGCTCTCTGATATAAACTTTAAGCAAAATCCCAAATTTTCCTGTTCTCCCTGAAACACTTAACTTATTAGTACTAAAATAATCAAAATATGAAACTTTAAGCCTCCCTTAACTATATTCAATAATGAAAAGAAGCTCAGGTTTCTGATACTGTTTACATACTGCAGTGTGTGCCACTCAGGCAGAGCCTGGTTCCTGCATGAAGCTCACCAAGAGCTTTCCTCCATCTGGTCTGTCAAAAAAAAAGGGCCAAAATGCAAATTCCATTAGTTCAATATTCTTTGTGTGCAATATTTCAAAATATGATTTTTCTCTTAGAATTGATTTCAATGCTTTTGCTAGAAAAAGAAAGTAGTTGAGTAGCCTAGTATGTAACAAACTGTATTGGAGACATTTAACTTTAGTAACACCCAAGCTCAGATACGATGTGTACCATTAAAGGAAGGGGGTGGGGTGTGGAAATTAAGCCAGTGACATCTGAAATAGGAGAGCATCTAGTGGAACATAAGCATGTGCTTAGTTTCAGTGGGACTGTATGTTATACATAAAGAAAGGAATTTGCAGATATTTTAACTTGAAGAAGAATGCTTTCCTGAATCAAGATTTTTAGAAATTTATCTCAGACTCATCAAAAGACGCATTGTTTATTACAAAAGCTCTGCAATTACTTTTACAATAATCATAAATAAAGTAAATAAGTATAGTCTTCACAACCTGTTTTTTCATGATGTAGCATTAAATTTATTACACTAGGTAAAAAACATGAATGGGCATTTAAGCATCCTAATAACCAAGGCACAGAAATTTCAAAGACATGGTAATTATTATCTAGGACATATATGCATGTATTTTCTTGGCATTTCAAAGTCCTGTAAGATCTGTGTAGTAGATTTTATTGTGTCTGCAGATTGACAGATGTCTAAAATACGCTTTAACAGTGGTCCTGATAAATGCATCTTTTTACTCCTTGCTTGCTTTTTGGAATGAGGCTGATATGCCAAATGGAAAGTAGGGTAGGCAAACCCAGAAATTTAACTAGAAAGTTCTCCCTGGGTTATGTACAGACTGTTCATCAAGTGTCAGGCAGGTGGAAAAAATACTGAGAGTCAACTTTGAAAGTGGTGTTGACAGATGCATTTGGGACCTTCCAGATCTCTCTTAGCCTGGCATTGGCCCCTTGAGATTCACACTCAAAGGGGAAAAGCCAGGACCACACTTCAGCACCAGCACAGGGCAGGGTAGGACAAAGAACCAGTGAGGCTGCAGCTCAAATACTCAGGAATCAGTTGTCATCTTAACATCAAGTGCATCTGAGCCACCAATGCAGTCCTGCAGTGTCCTAAGGAATTATTTTTGCATGACAAAGAAGCAAGTGGCAACCTGAATTCCCTTCCTTTGCTACTCTCAACAAGACTTAATTTATTTATTTATGATGCAGTCAAATGTTCCCACTGTTCTTAAGTCAGAAAACTGAGCAAAAACTAAGATTAAATTGATTGTGTAGATGAAGTCCTCACTTAGCTCACTCCAACGAACAACTAGCTCTGGTCACTGCTGAAAAGCACAGTGGTTTATATGCATTGCAGAAGTGCATGTTTAATATATGAGGTGTTACGAGTACCGTGTCATCAATGATATGTTTCGGTTTTACTTTGCTTTTCAAATTTCAAAAACTGTTGGAGTCAATGAAAATTAAATTACTATTTGTACAAATGTTTATTAGGCCTTTCTTTGTTATTCTTTTATAGGTCTTGTAGAAATTTGCCTGATGCATCCCCTTGATGTAGTGAAAACAAGGTAAGATCATGCTTGAACAGGTTTTGTTGACACTGGAAGATATCCAAATTACAAGCTGTCAAAAAATAAAATCCTAGAACTTCTCCCAGTAAGATAACTTGTGCCTCTAATGACATCTATATTTACTTACCTGTATTTACAGCATTTGACAGATGGAATTTGAGTAGCATGCCACATTTCTGATTAGAGGTCATCTAAAGGTGTTAAATCTGCGTATGACATGTATTTTTACTCTTGTAACACAATGCTATGACATGAAGATGGCTAAAGTTGAATTCACTTAGTATATGTATATGTAATTGGGAAATACCATATTGCCTCCAAAATAATTTTCACGGATTTTTAATAAAAATAATTAGAGGAGATGTTCCATATTCTCTTTGTAAGCTGAATAATGTCATGATTTTATATTTTTTAAATCTTTTTATCAGCCTTTCTTTTTTTTCTGAGTATTTGTTCTTAAATTACCTCAAAAATTTGCACAAGTTAGTTTGGTTTTTTTTAATGTTGGTTACTGAAATGAAGAAAAAAGAATAGCTGTGTTTCTAGTTTCTGGAACATCTTTTTATTTTCTATGCATTTTAGTTTTTATATAAATTCACAAGTTCGTGTTACTGTACATGAAATGCAAACCAGAATGGAGAAGCATTCTAGCAGAAGGAGAAAACTATTCATGCCATGTATCTTACGCAGCGGCAATAATTACCATATATACTGTTCCTGGAGCTCTGTCTAGGTCACAGACGTGTAGGTAGAAAAGCTTCACTAGGAGACAAATCTGCCCCAAACAAATGATGAGGACAGCTGTGGTCTCTGGAATATGCTTGAATTTGTCAATTATGACTTCATATTCTAGTTTTAGTTAGCCAACATGTGAGCTTTCTTTGGATGCATTTTTGGCTTCTATTTAAATCACATTTTGTGATTTGCCTAAGACCTTGAGATGCACATTTTTTGCAGCTTGCATTTCGCAGAAGGAAATAATCTGTCTGTGGTCATTGCCCAACACCAGGGGACAGTTATTCAGACTCCAGCTGCATTAAATGCTGCTGAGGTGCTGCAGGTCCTCCTTGGGGCTTGGAGGTTGCTCAAGTAGTCCTTTCATATCCCTTCATAATGTGGATGTGTTGATTCATATAGAGACAATGCACCTGGTGGTTCTGAGGGTCCTCTCTGCCCCTGCAAGTACCATTGAAACAATGCTATTAAAACTAGACTTTCATGAGATTGAAATTAAAGGCTCAGAAGCAACAGGGTACAAGCAAAACAAATGCAAGAACAAATTTAAGAAAAAACCTGTCTTGCTCTTCTGTCATGTGATCCCCAAAGGATGTGCTTTAGTGACTTCATTTTGGTAGTTTGTGCTTTAACTCACCTATAGCTTTCAAGCTTTGCTTTTACTTCTTTTTCTCTTTGTACTGAACTAGAAGTCATGTTCTTTTGTAGTAAGAATGTAGATTGTTCATAATTTAGTGTAAGCCACATACCATGTGTCAGAAAATGCATTAATTGCACATCTGTACTGGCAGTCAACAGACGTACTTTCAGTTTTCTGATAGAAACCACACAGTGGACTCTCAGAACACAAGGACAGATTCCCCCTAGTCTCTGAGATTTTTACTGAGTGTTACACACTTTAGTAGTGAAAAGGCTTTTCCGAGATCCTGGAATGTAAAGAATTAAATAGAGTATGGGGATGTTTGTCAAGCTGTAACAATCCTTAAAAACACAATAAAAAGTAAAAATTAGGAAACACTTAAATGTGAAATGTGAGCCCATAAACAGTGGAATTTTTAGAAGAAAGAAAGAAATAGGAAGAAAGGAAAGAACAGGAGCTGCACAGAAGAAATCAGATTATCGATCAAAGTAAAACTGAGGGGCTGAATCAAACAAAAAATCCATTAAATAATTTTTTTCATTTGAAGAAACATCCATTGAGTTAATTCTTCCACTGAGTTAGCTGCAATTCATTCCAGAAGTGGGCAGCGCCCAAGTTTGTTGATGCAGATGTATTCAGAGATATTACACAGATTTTGCAGTAACTTTTCTGCAGATCTCAGCAGATGGTAGTGGTTCGAAATACTTACATTTTGAAAGCAAATGACAAAACCAAGAATAGAATATCCTTTGATCTCATCCATCATTTTGTTCTACATTCCTTACATCATGCTTCTTCCTTTCATTTTGTAATGCTTCCCATTCCCAATTTACTATTAGCAGATCAATTCTTTGATGGCCTTGAAAGTTCAAATGAAACATTGGTTTTAATTCTGAACTTTGGACATAGAATGTTCTCTAATAATTTTTCATTGACTTTATTCCTTTCTTGCAGTGCTTCTAAGTACTGTTGTGTGCTGAATCTTTCCCAACATGATATTGATAATCCACCATTTCCTAATCACTTACAGCTATTACAGCTTTTGTGATTGGTTTAGGATTTTCTTCCTATTGGTTAGGTGACAAGACATATGAAAGCACCATTTGTTTCTTAATTTTTATGGTGTTTTGAGTTTCCTACTTTTTTCCCTAGAAATGTGTTTGGTTAAGAGTCCTGTGGCCATTTCAAATTATTGTAATCTCATTGATCTATATTACTGTTCTGAAGGAGTTTAGGGAAGATGTCAGAGGCTCACATGTAATGGACTGGTGGCTTAGTGTTTCATTGATATTTTGTGTATGTGCATGTTTTTAATAAAAAATTGGAGAAAATAAAGTTTCTGTCAAAGATTATTTTGAAACCCTGGAAAATTGTTTGGCTCTTTTATGACATTTTGCAATATCTTTTCTGTGTTTAGCAATTTTCTATTATTCTACAGTAACAATGCTAGATTTGTTTATCTGCTCACATCAAGGGAGGAACAGTATATAAGTACATGCTTATAAACCATAGAGAATCCAAATGCTTAATGAAGTGGTTTTTTCCTAAGTGTACATCTAAAAGTAATTTTTTTTTTCTCTGCTAGAACACCAAAGATAACTACTTTAAGAAATTCCTGATAGCTGGGTAGATTAAGATAACTATGATCCATTGTTTTAGGTTTATGAATCCCACTTATTCTTTGAAATGAAGCTATTTTCTCATTTGCAAGATATATTGGAATAGTTTCTGATGAGATATTATTTTAAAAAAACATGCTGAATTTTTTTTTTTTTTTTTTTTGTAGAACAGTCTATAATAGCTATTTTATATATCAGTTATACTTATGATTATGTTAGCCATTAAAAAATACTGAACCTCTGTTCTTGTCCTCGTAAATATAGAGTCTGGTAAGATTTTGTGTATGCCCACGTATGAGAAGTGACCACAGTGGGAAGAATTTTTTGGTACAGATACAGTCAAGACTTAGAAGGTCTATTTTTTAATTAAGAGATCTAAATTATCTTTCTTTTCTAGAAAGTGAGGGAGGAGAAAAGTGTCTTATCTTAGGATAAAGAATTGGGTTTGCTTACTTTGTACCTTTTTTGTGTCTTAACCATAATTCAGGCTGTAATGTTGTTTTCAGCCACAAGACTATCAAAGGATGCCAAAATTATGTACTAGATCATGATACATAAGACAAGACATTACCATATGTATTACTTTAAATTTAAAAATAGTAAATTGCTTTTCCAGGTAGAGTTTATATAATCAAATATACAAAATTCAGAACTTAATTATGTTTTATTGTTGGGTAATTAGTATTTATGCAGAAGCTCACAGGTGCGTAGTTGGTGAGAGAAAGGAAGAGTTACAGGGAGTTGTATTAAGACAAGGGAATGGTAATTGTATTTGTGGAATCAGTCAAGTAAGCCTAGCTTGTAACTGGAGGATCTTTCTGTGGTCCGTCTGAGAGTTCCAGCTTATGTTCTGAGGTAATCTGAATTCTCAAAGAAAAAAAACAAACTGTTTTTTTCATTTCCCTAATACTGGATTGATGGCATAAAAATGACGTTTTGAGAAGCTCCATAACTTTGGACTAAATGCACTAACATAGAATTTTCCTTGCTTTACATTACATTTTAACACCTCAAAAAATGAGTGCAACCAATGGTCATATTGGAAAACTAGAACTACAAGTAGAAATAAAAATTTAGCTAGTATTTCCCTAGATTTATGAGTTGATTCCCTTTATATGTGCTTTTTCTTTTACTTTGATTATTACCACTATTTATACAGCTGAATTTTAGTGACTCCACTGTTCTTGAAAACAATTTCAAAATTGCCTTTGCAAGTATTCATACGGATTGTAAAACATATATTTGTGTGGAAATAGTCATTTTGGATGTGACTTGGCATTATGTACTTAGGAAATGGAAACCTACTGAGTAATTTTTTTTTAACAGTTATCTACAGAATTTAATAGAAAACACAAATGAAGAAATGTATGACTAAGTGTTTCCAAATAACAGATTAAAAAATAACAACAAATCATCAACAGCTTTCAAATGCATAACATCTGAAAAGAAAATGTGTCTGAAATTCCTGTGAATAGGTAAAATGTTATGGGAATTAGATGAATCATTTACTTCTCTTTTCTGTTTAGGTGTAATTTGACATCACTATACATTTTGAGACAAATATTTGAAAGAGAGGTGGTTTCTCTCACATCACAATAATATCAAATTGTCCTCCAGATCTGTATTGACTTCAGTGGAGATAGATGATAGTCCATACCACTGGAGTATTTAGATTTTTTTTTACTTCTGGACAATGTATTCAAAGAGAGGTGAATGTTATGCCAAATACCATATAAAAGAATTGGAGAAAATATAGGGGTTTTTTGTGTTTGTAGAATCATCAGGGTAACCTTTGTCCTAACATTTTAAACATATATTCAGTGGGCAGTTTTTTAATACTTCTCTAGTTAACTCAAATAATCAGAGTTCCATTTGATTTTTTTCTCTATATTGAAACAGTCTGCTATTTTTCAATATAGTTGTGCCCTCACAATGCAGTCTCACATTGGGATGAGTGTGCAATTTCAAAATCAATGCATAAAGGAGACCCAGGAGACCTTTTT